GGCAAAACACTCAGGAACCTTCACAACAAATGCAATGTATGCCCTAACTAAAAGAGCTGTGACTGTGTTGTCAGTTTGATAAAATAAAGATAAAACCAGTGGTAATGCCCAGTGTTTCTAACTGCCTGCTGTGTCTTTGTTGTAGAACTTCTGTACAAACTGCAGTACAGTCTTCCTCTGTCCTATGCATTAATTTAAGACTATGTGACTGTGCTGTCACAGTGACACAAATGAAATTAAATTGCTGATATGGTCTTTTTTGCCTCAACTAGACAATAGAGAAGTTTATATACATATTAATCTTTCTTTTCTACTTCATGTGAAATAAAAAATAAAATTTATTTATTTATTTCACATTTTGTGGTCTGAGAAAACTGACTGCAATGTGCTGATGGAATAGTATGACAAAACAAACCTTGAACAATTTTTTCAGGAAAAGAAACCCCGAAACTTTCATGTTTACTACAGTTATAGGTTTGATAATTCTTATTTTAAAATTATTTCAGGATAAAGCTAGTATTTACACTCAAAGTGAGAAACTCTGGGGATGGAATTAGGGGTATTATGGGATTTGAAAAAAAATCAAGATTCTTAATGTGAAAATGCATTTAAGTTAAATTTATATCTTGCTTAAATTAAATCCAAAATGTACTTGAATTGTCCTCTTCCTTCCCCAAAAAATGTGAAACCCCAAAATAATGGAAATTTTTAAATATACAGGTGTTGATACAATTTTTCTGAAATGTCATCTATTCTGTAGATGTGCTCCAGCACAGCACAGCTGGAGATGTGTTATGCAGTTGACATTCTTACCAATTTCAGTGCTGCCGTAAAACCAAAATGTCAACACTATCTGGTGTACTCCAGCCTCAGGGGTTTCAAAAGGTCTTAGATAGTAGTTTGTTTATCCAAGTATCTATATTTTTTATTTTTTTTTTGAGCTAACCACTCAGATTAAGGAATTCGCACCTCTAGAAATGATTCATCTTGTCATAAAATGTACTTCTACAATTAATCATTTCAGTGCAGAAAGAATCGTGCCTTGCAGAGTGTACCACCTGGGGAGTCTTTCTGCTGTGCCTTTTGCAACCGGACGTGTCTATCTCGTATTGGCCTTTTTAGCCACCAACGTGCTTGCAACAAGCGTGGGTAGTGCCTTCCCAAATCTTCGTTCGCGAAGCCTAGCCATGAGGATGACAATTAATCATGCATTTGAGTTATGTTCCTGACTATGTGCCTTGGCTGTGAAGAGTCTAATACAACCAGTTTAAGAAGATGCTATGCTGGAGATGTTTAAAACTAAATGAGAAAGAGCCTCAGGTTTCTTGGTAGGGACTAAAAGTTCTGGAAGCACTGAATCACCAGCCATTGGGTGATCCCAAAGTATTTTTTTTTTAGTGTCAATGGCAGTTCAAAATTTGTAAAAAGTAAAGGCTCTTGAATCAGTGCTAAAATTGAACTGCTTAGAAGAAATAGAATTTTGCCCCAGAAGGCAGAAACATAGTTATACCTCACATTTTAGAAACAGCCTTTAATGTTTCCACAATTGCTACTTTATGTGAAACATATCTGAAAATATCTGATTACACAGAGACATTTTGTCATCTGTTCTTTGCATTTATTATTATTTGCTTGGCAAATAATTTAAGCTATCAAACTATGCTGTGAAATACATACGGCAAATCCTAAGGTTGAAATAGTTTAAACAGAAATATAACATGTACATGAGCTTCAGTAAACAAAACAAGGATAAGCACACACATACACAATATATGTAAGGACTAGCCAAAAGAGATACTATCAAAAAAAAAAAGAAACATAGCAAGAAGAAGGGCATACCAGAAGGTCCAGTTATGCTGCTTGTGCTTGCAGAACTTGACAGAAGATGCAAATGCTACAAAACTGAAGGACATTAGCTGTGTGGCAGAACTTTAGAACATCATTCATAGTAAATAGGGTGATAGAATTGAATTCTGGAAAAAGGAATATATATCACTCTACTAAAAGGTAGATCTGGCATGTGAAATGTCAGGGATTTATTGAAATTTGTTGTCCATGAGTTGAGAAAAAACAAAGGATTTACATGTACTAAGTATCATGGAGTAGCAGAAACAAAAATAAAAGGTAACCATGAAGAAAGCACAGAAATATGTGCTCTACCATTTAAGATGACAAAGAGGATCCTGGTTGTTCACGGGTTACACCAAGAGAAGAGGTATTCCACAGCCCTCTGATGATGTCTTTTTATCCCAAACACATGTAACACCTCTGGGTGGATGGCAAAACTCTGGGCCTTCAGCTGTTTAGGTAAAATCAGCAATACCAACAGCTTACAGGCAAACTAGGCATAAAGGTATCATGTGATGACAAAACAATATGTCAGCAGATATGCAGGCTGCTGTGCTCTTTACTGGTTTCAGTTACCAGGTTGATTTAAATTTAATTCCCTGAAGAGCTCATTACCATACTCTAGTTTGGAGTGTTTAAATTGTCATCATGTAATTGCATAATAAGGAAAACACACATGTTTTATCAAATTATAGTAAATACAGGAATTTCAGAATTCCCTAAAAACTGTCTTATCTATAAGTCCATTTGAAGCACAATACAGGAAAAAACAAACAAACAAAACAACCACCCCCCCTTCAAAAACCCAAGTGGCCTAATGCATATCACACTTAACACTTCAAAGATAAGCTATTCAGGTTTCTTTTTCCCCACTTCATACACCAGGCACGATGTCTCAATTTATAATAAGTTTTGTCAACTATTTATAGTCAGCTAGGAATTATTCAAAGTGTGCTCATTAAATGTTTACCCATCATCTCTGTTAAATATGCTTCCTTTTGCTAATATTAATAGAAGTATTTGACTTCCTCTCACCATTTTGTGAAATGCAAGGTAATTTGCAATGAGAGCAAAAATACTGAAATCACGACAGGAACTCAGATAACATTAGATTTCTTTTAAAAATGCAAGTAGTATTTTTCCATGATATTGATAAGTTTGTATTAATCATAAAATCATAAAATTGTTGGAAGAGACATTGAAAATCATCAAGCCCAACCATTACCCCAGCACTGCCAAATCCACCACTAAACAATGGCCCTAAACACCACAGCTACGTCTTTTAAACACCTGCAGGAATGGTGACTCAGCCATTCCTACCTTCCTAGGAAGCCTGTCCAATGCTTGGCGACCCTTTTGGGGAACTAATTTTTACTAATATCCCATCTAAATCTCCCCTGACACAACTTAAGGCCTCTTATTTCTTCTCATCATGTAACTTCTTACCTGGAAGAAGAGACCTACACCCCTCCCACCATAACCTTCTTGCGAGTAGTTGTAGAGAGCCATAAGATCTCCCTGGGAAGCCTCCTATTCTCCAGGCTAAACAACCCCAGCTTCCTCAGCCACTCCTCATAAGACTTGGGCTCCAGACCAGCCACTGTTCCTAAGACTTGTGCTCCAGACCCTTCACCAGCTCCACTGCCCTTCTTTAGACATACTCCAGCAGCTCAATGTCTTGCTTGTGGTGAGGGACCCAAAACTGATCACAGTTCCTTACTTCCCCAAGATTAGAAAACTATATTTTCATGATTGCTATGCCCAAGACGGCCTTCAGCCATCACATCACCCACCAGTTCTTCTCTATTCATAAGCAGCAGGTCCAATGGGGTACCTCCTCTGGTTGACTAATTCACCAGCTGTGTCTGGAAGCTACCTTCTTTATGGAAGCAATTTTGATGCAGGGTGTAGGACCCTGAGATTAGCTCAGTTGGTTAGAGCATAATGTTAATAACACCAAGATTATGAACTTGATCCCTGTAGGGGCTATTCACTTAAGATTTAGACTCAAGGATCCTTGTGGGTTCCTTCCAACTCAGAATATTCCGTGATCCTGTGAACTTAACCTCAGCAAAACTACCTAACTAGATCAATTTTTATCCTTGTTGTTCTTCAGTTCCACTTTCAAAACCTTGCACCTGTTATGTCATGGCACCTGGGAAGGTGAGGCAATCATAGGGGTGGTACATCTGCTGTGCCAGGAAGGAATTTATCACCATTGCCCTCTATAACTTAAGTCAACACATTCAGCCAGGTGGAGAGAAGACAGAGAATCCTCCATATTTTGCATCCTGTCTGCCTGTCTGGCCTGTCCCAGGGAAGGTACAGTGTGATTCCAGTAGTTCTACCTTTCAGACCCCCTGATGCTCCTCAACTTACGCCCTCTTAGAGCTCTGTCACTAAGCAGAGGAGTGCCCCTCTACCTGGGCACACCTTCCACAGGTATGCTCACTGCTCCCATCCGGTACTGCTATAACAGCAGGGCACAGCCTGCAGCTTATACCTGGGTGCAGTGTGTTCCCACCAGAGCTCTGTCTGGGCAGCTGCATAAAGTCATGGTGGGTGCAGAGCTTAAGGAGGCCATGGTTTTCTTCTGGGTGGATGCCATTGCTCCATGGTTGAGCTGGCAGGGCTTCAGCACCTTTTCTGCATGCCCTTCTGCACAAATTGCCATACCATGCCCTGGCTGATGTGCCGTGCCTGTTTGCCCATTCTGTTGGTGATAATCCTAGTCACTGGTGCTCCTTAAGTGCTTCTTTTATAAATGGGGGGGCTTGGCAGCCATTGCTGCTGGCTCTGCCCAGATCCTGTCAGCTGCTGTTGCACGAGCTGGGGGCTATCAGTGGCTCTTTTCTCACCCTTAGGTTCCTCTAGTTCAGGGACCCCCTGTCCACCACTCCAGAGTGTTCCTCTGCAGATTGTGCTGGAACTGGAGCTGTTTGCCTTGGCGACTGAGTAACTAATGTCACAGAGGAAGATTAACTGTGCTTTTATACTTAGGGTAGCAGATGGTACTCAAAAGTAGGAAATCTGGCAGGTATGTGAAGTAACATTTAGACATTCTTCAGGTGTTTTTTTGTTTGTTTGTTTGTTTTTCATCAAACAGAAATCTGCTAATATGGAGTGTAGTAGTTTGATTTTTAGGCCTTCCTTGGTAATCAAGGTCAAAACCAAGGAAATATTCCATTCTATCCCTTTACGTGAACAGAGGTATAAATAAGACGGAGAGAGAGGTCTCTTCCCCTCTTCTCTCCAGTGAACTTGGGAGACAGCAGGTCCCTGCAATTGGTCTCACTTATCTGGGAGTTGAGGCCTGCTCAGCTTGTTACTTGCCACACAGGAGGTGGAGGGTGCTGGCCGTGTCTGGCGATCCTGCTTTTCTTAAAGGAAGTGGTGAGATTTCATTTTGCTAGTTCTTTATTTTGCCAGTTCCCAGGTTTTGATTGTGCATATCTGTTTTGTTTTTGTTCCTTTTCATCCCTTTTCCCTTCCCCTTCCCCTTTTTCTGGGGAGCTGTTTGGGGTTCTCGTATTAATATGTACATAGGATTTTAATGTGATATATATGAAAACATATATATATATTTTGATATAATTCCGTTGATTTCAGTTTCTCTGTTTCTATAGGTTTTTTTTCCTTTACCTAAAGGTGGAGGGAGGGAAAGGCTTTTACTGGGTCTTGGAGACTTGGCAGGAAGCCAGCTCCAAACTTGGTCATGGAGCTAGACCACACCTAGCAGAGAAATTCTACCAAAAAAAAATCAGCAACTGAACAATTGTATATGTAGTAGGAGTAAAATATCCCTTCCTTTCAGTAGATTTCTGTAACATTTTCCCTTTCACATATTGTCATCCTCAAAAACCCTACCTGGATGTATTCAAAAACATGTTGAGATTAAGCAGAAGAAATAGAATTGCATTTACGGAAAAGCCTGAAATAAAATCTACCATTTTTCTTCCTTTGTTCTTCCTGGATAAGACTTTGCTTTTTGCTGAGATCTGAGTACATAGACTCTCAGGGTCTTACTGTACTGCAACAAAGTCCCTCTCCAGGAAGATTTCTTTTTTTTTTTCCTTCTTGGCTCTTTTTCTCTCTGTCTTTATTTGTGTGATACCACATTACCTTATAATCATTTGGCTACAGAAAAATGGCAATTCCTTTTCCTGTTATGCAATTTCACTTAATTCAGAAAGTACTATCCAAGAAAAAGGTAAACAGGTGGTTGCCTTTTTTGCTGTTTTGCCATATGCTTTGAACAGAACACAACATAAGAAGGACACACAGTAAACAGCAAAGAAATTAAACAGTTACATCACCCACCTCAGTTAGGAAATTCTTATCAGACTATGTGTAGGAATATGAGTTAAATCTTTCATTAAAATAGCTGCAACTACATCCTCCCCTCAAAGCCTTTAACAACCTTCCTAGTAGAATCTATGGTAAAACAAAACTATTAAAAAAAACCAAACAGAAACCCCCCACCAAACCAAAAGTAATAGAAATAAGAGAAGTGTGACTGATGAATCCAAATATTTAAACCACTTAAATATTTATACTTTCTTTGGAGAATTTTAACTTATGTGAAACCTGATCATGCCATTAATTAGTTTATTGTGGTGTAAACCTGTCCATCAGTCACACAAAAAAACCTTTAAGGCTAAACAACGGACAGATGGTAAGGTGAATTCTGTCTGTCTGTAGACAGAATATTAAACACTCTAATTCTATTTTTCCTAATATTTTTAAGATATTTGATGCATTTTTACTCTATGTGGAACTAGGTACAAGATGCAATGTGTTGTAGTCTCTTGCTTTAGAATATTGTATTCTTTTTAACAGCCATAGAACTGTTTGAAATGTTTCCTGCCATTCAATTAATGCAGGTGCAAAGAAAGATGTTTCATGAGAATTTTCACTGGATCTCCCAGCTGATGTAGTTGGTGAATCAATTCAGAAATTAAACAATTTATAAAAATGAAGTAGGAAGAGGGATGATTTTTTTTTTGTCTCTTTAGATTAAAGCTTGGGCATGTGTATGAATTTAGGCACCTTGATATAATATGTACATAGTGATGAACTTTCCAAAAACTTGCTCAGCTCTTTCTAAACCTGAAAGACTCCAAACAATACATAATTTCAGTCTATTCAGGAAAAAACTTCAGGTTGCCTCTTGTGGACTTCAGAAAGGAGCTAGATGAAAAATCCATGTTTCCTCATGTAAAGATTTAATCGTTAGCTCAATATGTGTTACAGGTGAGGATGAAATTCTAGTTGAATTCTCCACTCTGTCTGGTTTAGCAGAAACTTGTGTCTTGAGTTAGCAGACTTTGCAAAGCCAGAAAACAAAATGATCAAAACATTGGCTTGACATTGTGTGGACCAACACTCCACAACTAAGATGTGAATGGAAAGGATTTGTCCCTTCTCTGGAGAATTCTATTTATTAAGAGGTAAGCTGGGAAAAGACCCTCTCCCATGTGTTGAATCTGAAAAAAAAGAAAAGAAAAAAAAGGAAATTTTTAATTTTGGATGTAAACTCATGGAATTTACCTGGATGTTTTTGTGTTTGTGAGTAAATATGCAAAACTGAATTCTTGAATTTTCAAGGGGAAGCCAGATAATTCATAACTGTCCCTGGCACGGGCTGTTGTGAATTTTGAAAACATTTGTATTAAACAGAAGTGAATCTTTCATTTAAAAGAGACAGAAGACAAAACCCCCAGAAATTACAAAACTGAGAACATTTGTTTGTGCACACGGTCCATTTTTGATTATGTAAACCAGTGACTTGATGTTCCAGAAAGAAAGTGTTACAAAAAATAAAGAATTCTGAAGCAAAGAAGTGGCTGTGGAAAGAAGAAGGGGGTCCAGAAAGGATAAAGGAAACATTCTAGCTGGAGGAAAGTTCTTTAAACTGGGAGAAGATCCTGGAGATGGGAGAGAAGTATGAGGATAAATGCCTGACCTTGGCTGGTGATGCCCCAAACTACCAGGAGCTGCATAGCAGGAACCAACACAGCCTGATCCTCCCAGAGCAGCAAAGATGTTTCTGCAGGGAAGGGAAGTCAGCATCTAGTGAACTACTTATCTCTATGTTTTTTTTCAACCTAAATGATTCTGTGAACTTAATGTTGTGGGAAAAGGAGGGAGATAACCAAGCAGAAAAAAAGCTCTAACCTCTTTTGTTTGTTTTCTATAAAGAATTTGCTTAACTGAATAAAGATTTGTTAGCTCAGGGACTCATCTCATCCCTTCTGCTATCCATATTGCTCTCCAAATCATAATCTTTTTATTTTGTGTTCTCTCTGTTCTCATAAATACTTTTGTAAATACACACAAGTATACAATGTTAAACCAAAAGGGTCTAAGACCTGTATTAGTGTACCCACTTCTCTGAAAGCGTTAGAAGAATTTTGTCCATCCTCTTCAAATCAGACTGACAACAGTTGTTGGTTTTGAGAAGAATTGGTAAAAGACTAAATATTTGTTCTTTTTCTGACTTCGTACCAAGTAGCTGAGAAGATATTCACTTCTCATTGCTGTTTAAGGAGAAGACTGAAATTACTGAGCAGGAACAGGTTTCCACTCCTGATTTTAAACTACCCATTCCCATCTCTTTCCCAGAATACCACAACTGGGATGACAGTAACTCACATGTACAAAATGCACAAGTAATCTCAAAACTGGCTAGCCTACTGTGATTTTGAACTGAACAATTGAAATGCCTCATGTCTGACTTGCTGCTTGCCATTTAGGGACTAGAAATTATTTTTGTTCCTTTCACCACAGTGGGTGACATAGGAAAGTTACTTGCCTCGAGAGAAATTATTACCCTAATTGTAGCAATCTAGTTAAATAAATACTATCAGGAACTTTCTCCCTTATTGACCATCACTTGTCTTCATAGAAAAATCCATGAAGCATAATCTGAGCATAAAGTGTCTGGAGAATTTCTTTTTATTATTTCTTTACTGTTGCTGAGGACTGTCTTGCAATCAGTCAAATGTTTATATGAGGATAGAATAAGCAATACGCACACCAAACACAGGACTTCACTGCACATCTGACATAACAACAGGGTAGAAGCAGAATTAATGTGCTCATCTTAATTGTGATGGTCATTAAAATTACACAAAATATTTCTCGCCTGTACCCTCCCTCCCCCCCACTCCCCAAATATTTTCTAGGGTTAAAACAAGTTGCTGCTATCACTATTATTATTATTGAGGCTTTATGATGACCAGTAGACAAAAGACAGTAGTAGTAGTAATCCAGCTATCTCATAACTCCAGCAGTGTAATTCCAGAATGTTTTGAAAGTATGGTCTTTTCTTGACACTTCTCAGAGGATTGCTGAGGAGAAATGCTCATTTACTAATGTGACTGAAAAGCACTGTCACTCCAAATCACCACAGCCATTTAATGAAAATGGGCTTTTCAGCAATATAATAGATGCTGCCAAAGCAGTGATCAGAAAGAGAAGAAAGGGAATGAACTAAGTAACACGAGCTGTTAAAAACGTCAACTGTGTTTTGCTAAGATGTCTGACAAAAGATGGTATCTGTCCTGCTGAATAATTTCCTTCACCAGCTTCAGCTACCTGAAAATGTCTTCACTTTTTTTCACAGGCCACATACTGGCTAACAAGGTGAAAGGTTTCATTCCTATCATGTTAAAATGAGTCATTTATACAGAAGCATTTTTAAAGGTGCTGCTACTGCAATCGTTGTTCAGATGATGGCCAAGGAAGAGTATTTAACTTTTTTTAAAATTTTTCCTGTTGGGGCCCCTGGTGGTCTAGTGGTTAGGGGCCCCTGGTGGTCTAGTGGTTAGGGTGCAGCACTTTCACCGCTGCGACCCGGGTTCGATTCCCAGCCCCCCAGGCAGATGGAGCTCGTCAGCCCTGTAAGGCAATCCATCTAAGAGAAGGTCACTCTAAACAAACCTACATCCTGAGACCCTCACTGCCACAGTCCAAGCTTGCTCGTCCCTGGCAGATGAACCTCAGGATTAAAGGGTGGGCTCAGTTCAGCGTACGCTGTGTCTCACCTAAAAAATCCACTGCGCAGGCTCGAAGGGTTAATGACCTTTTCCAAATCTTCGCTCGCAAAGACTGGCCATTATTTATTAAATTTTTCCTGTTGAAACTAGTGCTTGGTCTTCCAAATTCACTAATTACTATGATGTTTACCTTTACATTTATATAATAAATAACTGGCTCCAATTCTAAGCTTCTTTTCTTCTATAGTCTTTTACTATAAGGTCCAGTATTTCAAAATTGGTTTTCATCTTGATTGAGAATGAAAATCTGAAATATACATTTATTTGATGATGAAGAAGATAATGAAAACAAACCAAACCTTACAGATTTATCGGGTGATACTGTTAATATTCTTTTCATTTCTGAGGCAACACTCAGTTGTCCCCTTATAGATATCAAATACTAAATAAGTGGTACCTTGCATGTCTCCAGGTGCTGACAGAGGATATAAGTTCCCCACAGATCCTAATTTGTAACTGCCAACCCACATTTTGCTTATCCTAGGGTATTGTAGATGGCCTTGGGTGCCTGTGAGAATGAAATAGATCAAGTTGCTATATGTAGATGAGTTAAATTCTGACATAGTAACATATGAAGGATAACCATGTTTCGTCATGCATTCTGTTCAGCTACATGCTAATTTCATGTTCTACCATAGAATTGATTTGAGACACATCACTGTCAACTCTTGAGATAAGACCAGGATATTATGATTCAAGTACCACAGAAAACGTACTAAAAGGAAAGAAACGTCTTTGAAAGTTTGAATATACTATATATTGAAAGACTGACCAATACACCAGAAGTTTTAGCCTTCATGTGAAATCCTGCAGAAGCAATCCCATTTCATAGTCTCTTTGCATAGTAGCTGTTGGATAGCTTTATGCAATATTGTCTTTATTTGAGCAAATCAGAATTGTAAAAAAACACATTTGTTTTAGGGAGATAATTTTATCTCTCACAGCATACTAAAAATTTTGCTCTTGGATTTCATTCCCTTAATCTGAAAAATCTTTATTAACTTCTGTTTTACCTTTCAGCGTATGTCTTCACTGTCTAAGCAGAAGCATGTCCTCAAAATTCTACAGACAATTATGTAGGCAACTGCTGTATATTCAATGCTGCATACAAAGTCTACACGTCAGAAATTTTAAAATGTAGGAATGTTTCTTGTTTTACAAATGAAAACTCTAGAGATAGTCTTGAACAATCTGAAATCTGACACCGTACAAATATCTCTTCATTTTTCAGTAAGCATTTGGACAATTCTTTCAGGCATATGGTTTGATTCTTGGGGTGTCCTGTGTAGAACCAGGAGATGGACTCAATGATCCTTGTGGGTTTCTTCCAACTCAGTATATTCTATGATTTATTTCTTAATAACTTATTATTTAAAATATAGACCATGAAATTATAATTGCTATTTTACATCATCACTATAGAAGAAAAAAATAGCTTTGCCTTATAAAACCAGGGAGGGTTGTTTGTTTGTCTATTTTCTGTTTTTAGTATTGGTATTGTTATTTGTTGAATTCAAGAATAAATTAAAACAGCTTCAGATGTCCCTCTCTGAATTTTTTTTAGTAATATTTTCTCCCAGACAAAAGTATATTATATAACATATTACATGAATTCTATTTTTCTGTTTCCTTTTACTATCCTGTGATAGAGTGATGGAGTAGATTTCTTTAACTTAAAAGTAAAAAGGTCATTGAGTAAAATAAAAATACTAAAGGAAAAACGTTTCCAGAAAATGAGCAATTTTACATGATATCCTAGTATCATGACTTGAAAAGACTTTCCCCCCTGGAGCTGGAAGATGGCTAGTTCCAGGAGTGGCGTTTTTGGTGGTGAGCCAATCAGAGCTTGGTGCACCCCTGTGGAAATTACATATTCACAAAACTGGAAAAGAAGGCTTGTTGGCGTAGCTGGAATTAGAGGGAAGCTATGAGGTAAAGAGAGGGGCCAAGGGCTTTTCCCCTGGTCCTGTTCTGGCCGGGGGGCCAGACATGGCATAGCAGCTGAATTGAGCCCCCCCCGAGACTGATGGCCGAGGGAAAACCCCGAAATTTGGAGAGGCCCCTGGACTGCAGCGTTTGTGTGTCCCCCCCCCCCCCCCCACTGAGAGGCGGCGGACTGGGGCTTGAGTGGCCACCAGGAACTGAAACCAGTCTCCTGGTGGCAGGCACAGCTCTGGAGCGGAGACAGTGCGGGCCGAGGGCTGGCCCGGAGCGGGTTGGGACAATAGCCATGACCCTGGAGACGTGACAGCAACACGCAGCCACGGAGTAGCCTGGGACGGGCTAGGGCGCACAGCCATGATGCTGAAGCAGCAGCAGCACGCAAAATGCAGAGCGAAGCGGACCTGGAATGGCCCAGACGGTACCAGCGTCCAGCTGAGACAGAGCAGACGGAGAGAGGTCTGCTGGAGCGTTCTTGGGGTAGGGACTTGAGCCAAAAATCTCTAGAACCCTTTTTACATGGGGAGGGTGGAATCCTGCTTAGGGGACCCCTGAAATTCCTCATGGAAGGAACCTCCACGAAGCAGGGGACGAAGACTTTAAGCTTTAATCCCTTGTACTCTGTGGTGCAGATATGGTGAGACGGGTGTTCCCCTGAAGTCCATGGTAAGACCCTCGGTAATTGTGGCCAAAGGGCGAGAAGTGGGGGTAGACCCCCTTGCATTCCGAAGAAGAGAGAAAGAAGAGAAGAATTTTCCAACTACTAAGAATTAGAGCTGTGGTCTTGAGAGTAAAGGACTACTTCTTCTCCTCCTGGACTTTAGGTGGGGAAGGAGGGGTGGTCTGTGTGAATACATTGTTTTATCATAGGAAAGTTAGTTAGGATTGTTGTATATATAGTGCTTTATAGTTTTTTATTCTGTTAGCAATAAATTTTGATATAATTCCCCCATGATACTGAGTTATGCCTGTGTGAAACTTCTCTCACATTTGGGTGAATTTGTGGGGGGTTTGAAATTGGCTTTTGGGGCTCCAACCACCTCACCTAGCTCAGACTACTATTGAAACTACATGGGGGAACATTTAAAGCAATAACATAGCTATCCAGAATTAGAACTATGGTAACAGTTGGAGTCTGGTCATTGAACTAAAAAAAAATAAACCTCTTTTGGAGTTAATCCAAGTGTTTTTCTCATTTGAAATAAAATATTTTATTAATTTACCTAATTTTCTAATGAAAATTGTTTTACATGAAAATTAAAATGTTACTTTTTTTTCTTTTAATCTTTCATTTCTGCCATGTGCAGTTTTCTTTTCTTTCACTTGAGTACAAATTCAAGAACACTTCTGGCTGACCAATACTGCAAGTTTCAAA